TGTGCTCCCTGGACTTGTAAGTCTAATTCTTTCACCAGGTGGGGGAAGTTTTCTGTCACTATTTCTTTCAGTATGTTTTTGGTATCTTGCTCTCTCTCTCATCTTCTGGGACCCCCATAATTCTGATGTTGGATCGTTTGAAGTTGTCCCAGAGATTTCTTACATCATCTTCCATTTTCTGGATTTTCTTGCCTTCTAGCTTCTGCAGAGGAGTGTCTTCTGGCTCTTTATGTTCCAAATCTTTGACTTGATTCTTGCGATCTTCTATTCTGTTTTTAGGACTCTGTATAATAGTTTTTATTTCAGACAATGTATTCTTTATTTCTTGTTGATCCCTTTTCATATCCTCATAAGTCTCATTTATTTTATCGGCCTTTTCTAGGAAACTCTTGAAAAACCTTATAAGTGTGGTTTTGAACTCTATATCCAGTCGCTTTTTGTCCTCCATTTCTTTCGTTTGTGATCTATTTGGTTTAGGCATTTTCGCAGGCAGCTTTCCTGATGGGGCGGGGTTTCAGGGTGGAGCCTACAGCTTTGGCTTCCGTCAGCCCCGCCCTATGCGGCTCCTGAGACTCAGGGTCCTTCAGTGCTCGCTGCCGGCGCCTCTGAGAGAAAGGCGCCCTCGATTTTCGCCTGCTGCCAAACAGTCTAGTCTCTCCCTGAATGGGCCCGAAACTGGGGTTCAGTTCAGTTGGAAGTGGAGTTGGAGGTGGCGTTCAGAGCAGACTGGAGCCCCTGTCTCCTTCCCGCCAGGCAATCCCGCGGCACAGCCGGCCGTCCCTGGGGTTCTGCCTTACTGCCCAGCTCCCTCTGTGTGAGCCTGGGTCCCCGGGGTCTGGCCTAGGCCTGGGGTTCAGAGCAGTCGGGTTCCGGCACAGTCGGAGCTTTTATCTCCTTCCCGCCAGGGAACGCCCGCCAGGCACTCGGCCGCCCTCCTCTCCGGCTCCGTCCTCTCTGCGCGCCGCGCGTCTCCGTACCTCAGGCTTTTACAGCTCCTCCGCTCTTCCTTCTGGTTTCCTCCTTGCTTCTTGTTGTAGAATTTCCATTCAGTCGACTTTCCTGTAGTTCTGGGTAATGTCCATTTTATATTTTAGTTGTATTTTATTGAAATTGTTGCATGCGGCTGCGGCTAGGTGCCTACCCGAGCAGCCATCTTGGATTCTCTCCTTTGTGATTTCTTCATTGACCTATTTATTGGCCCATATTTAGGAGTGTATACTTTGATTTTCACATACCTGTAAATTTTCCTTCTGTTATTGATTCTAATTTCATCCCAATGTGGTTGGAGGACATACTTAGTATGAATCAATCCTTTTAATTTTCAGGGGAGTTATTTTATGGCCTAACATATGGCCTATGAGGAGAATGTTCCATGAGCACTTGAGAAAATGGATTATGGCCGAAACTGGTTTGGCTCAGTGGATAGAGCGTCAGCTTGGGGACTGAAGGGTCCTGGGTTCGATTCTGGTCAAGGGCATGTACCTTGGTTGCGGGCACATCCCCATTAGGGGGTGTGCAAGAGGCAGCTGATCAATGACTCTCTCTCATCGATGTTTCTAACTCTCTATCTCTCTCCCTTCCTCTTTGGACAAAATCAATAAAATATATTTAAAAAAAGAAAAGAAAATGGATTATGCTCTTGGATAGTCTGTTAGGTCTAATTGGTTTATAATGTTGTTCAAGTCTTCTGTTTTCTTGTTGATCTTCTATTTAGTTCTCTTCATTACTGCAAGTATTAAACTCTCCAACTATTGTAAATTGTCCATTTTCCATTTAATCTGTCAGGTTTTGATTCTTCCATCTTAGAGAGATGTTGTTAGGTGCATATATGTTTATAATTATTATATCTACTTCATGAATTTTCCATTTTATCAATATAAAATGTTCTTTTATTGTGTTTAGTAAAACTTTTCATCTTATGTTTATTTTGTCTTTTTTTTGTCTTTTTTTTGGTCTTTTTTGTCTGATGTCTTTTTTGGTTTCTGTTTGCATGACAGATGCAATTTGACTTTTAAAAAAATGTTTTATTATTATTATTTTTTTATAGAGAGAAAGGGGAGAGGGATAGAGAGTTAGAAACATCAATGAAAGAGAAACATTAATCAGCTGCCTCCTGCACCCCCCCTACTAGGGATTTTCACACAACAAAGATATATGCCTGTGACCGAAATCAAACCTGGGACCCTTCAGTCTGCAGGCTGACGCTCTATCCACTGAGCCAAACCAGTTAGGGCACACCTTGATTTTTATAATGGGGTTAAATTCTGATAAGCCAGTAGAAGTTGAAAATACATCTAATACACTACCCTACTGAACTACATAGCTTAGCCTAGCCTATCTTAGATGTGCTCAGACCCCTTCTGTTATCCTAAAGTCGGGCAGTGATCTTGAGTTTTATCTCAAAAGTAATTGCCTTTCTCCTTTTCTTCTCACCAGGAAGCAGTAGACACAGATGTGCGTTTTGTAGACATGTTAGGGTGCAAAACACACTATCCCAAAAGCAGTGGCGATACAGTACACTGTGGAGTATCAGTTGTTTACCCTTGTGACCATGTGGCTGACTAGGAGCTGTGACTCACTGCCTGTGCCCAGCATCATGAGAGAGAATTGCACTGCATGTCAGTAGCCCCGGGAAAGATCAACATTCAGAATTTGAAATACAGTTTCTACTGAATGCTTATTCCTTTCATGCTGTCAGAGTCAAAAAATCATGTCAAACCATTGAAAGTTGGGGACCATATGTATATCTTTTTCCATCCTTTCACGGATTTGTCTTTGAATCTAAAGCTTCTTTAGCTCTTTGCCGCATCTACTGTGAGGATGAAGACCATTCTCAGCATCAGGCTGTTGACATTTTAGAAAACGTGGACATCTCTCTGAAGGGACTCATTGTCATTGTAGCGGGCCAGAGGCACCCTTCAGATGGGCTTCTCTCACATCCATGTAGAACTCAGCCTCTTTGGAATGAAAAGGAAGAAGAGGCTCTGGGTTGACAAATGGTGAAGCAGAATGGCATCATGTACAGGACATCATCAACGGTGTACGGGGTTTCTGTTACAAGATGAGGTCTGTGTGCATCCACTTCCCATGGTTATTCCGGAGATTGGTTCTTTTGTTGAAATCAGAAATTTCTTGGGCAAAAGAAATACATCTACAGGGTTTGGATAAGGTTAAGTGTTTCTTATTCAGTATCTTAAGCCCAAAAAGATGAGTTAATTCTTGAAGGAAATGACATTGAACTTGTATCAAATTCAGCTGCTTTGATTCAGCAAGCCAGAACAGTTAAAAAAAGGATATGAGAAAATTTTGGGATGGTATCTATGCTTCTGAAAAAGGAACAGTTCATCAGGCTGATGAAAATAGAGATCTAAGATGTCTAGCCTATAGAAATAGCTAGGTGATGATTCCTCAGATTTATTTGTGATATTTTAAAGATGCAGTAAGAAGCCATGTATTGGGGAAATAATATAATGTGTCTCTTTAGAACACATAGTTAGTTCATATTTATTTTTATTCATTCTGCCAATCCTTGCCTTTTAGTTGGATAATTAATCCATTTACATCTAAAGTAATTACTGATAAGGAAGAGTTTTCTTCTGCTATTTTGTTTTTTATTCCATATATCATATGCTGTTTTATTCCTCAGCTTCTCCATTGTTACTTTCTTTTGATTTATTTGATTTTTTTGGTAGTATATGGTTTTGGTTTTTTTCTCATCTCCTTTTCTGTATGTTTTAGTTATTTTCTCAGTTGTTACCCAGGGGATTACAGATGATTTCTTAAACTTATATGTAACAATCTAGTTTGCATTAATGTCAACTTAATTTCAATAGTATACAAAAACTTTTCTCCTAAATAGTTCCATTTCCCCTCTCTTTTGTGCTGTTATTGGATACAGATCATATATCTGTATATTTTGTGCTTATCAATACAGATTTACAATTATTTCTTTATGTAGTTGTTTTTTAAGTCGATAGAAGAAAAGATATAAAAAAATTCATTTATACTGTCTTTGTACTTGATCATGTAACTACCTTTACCAGTGCTCTTTTTTACTTCATGTTGATTTATACTACTCTCTATTATCCTTTCATTACATTTTGAAAGGTTTCCTTTGGTATTTCTTGTAGGACAGGTATCCTAGCAATGAATTATTTTGGTTTTGTTCATCTTGGTTTTAATTTCTGCTTCATTTTTGAAGCACAGCTTTGCTGAACATAGAATCTTGGTTGACAGTTTTTTCTTTCAGCACTTTTCATATGGCATCCCACTGCCTTCTGACCTCTTTAGTTTCTGATAAGAAAGCAGCCACCAATCTTTTTTAAAAAATATTTTTTTATTGCTTTCAGAAAGGAAGGGAGAGGGAAAGAGAGATATAAACATTAATGATGAGAGATAATCATTGATCAGCTGCCTTCTGTATGCCTCCTACTGGGGATTGAGCCTGCAACCTGGGTATGTGCCCTGACCAGGAATTGAACCTTCTGGTTCATAGATCAACACTCAACCACTGAGCCATACCAGCTGGGCAGCAGCCACCAATCTTATTGAAGATTCCCTGTATGTGATGAATTGCTTTTCTCTTGTTACTTTTAAGATTCTCTCTTTGTCTTTTATCAGTTTGATTATGATGTGTCTAGGTGTGGATCTCTTTAATTTATCCCATTTGGAGTTCATTTAGCTTTATGCATGTGTAGATTAATGTTTTTTTATTAAATTAGCAAAGTTTGAGGTCATTATATTTTTCTGCTTCTTTCTCCATTTCTTCTGAGACACCCATTGTGCATATGTTGCTAAACTGTCTGCCTAGCAAGCATGGAAGATGGCAGCTTGTTCCCCAATTGGTTACAACATATGTCTGCTGTAGGAATAAACAGCAGCCTTATATGGGCTAGCAAGTCATTAAATTAAAGTTTGGGACCCTCTTTTGGTCATGTATTGAATGAGGTATTTCTTGCTGGGAGATGATAGACCTAATGAACTTGATTTTTTCTCTGTAGGTTCAATGTCAACAACACCATTCTTCATCCAGAGATTGTGGAATGGTAAGTACAACCTGTGGCTACCTTGACTGTTCATTGTGCTCAGCTCAGGCAGGTGAGAGACCCTGGTGTTCCTGCCTATTCCCACTCAGAGAGCCCATCAGACAAGCCAGTTCCCAGATCTTCTCTCAGAGTCTTCTGTCTTCTTTGGTTTATTTTTTGTTTGTTTGTTTGTTTGTCAGTTGGTTTTTTGTGTTTTTTTTTGAAAAAGCATGAGTCATTTGAATGTCAATGAAATTTCACTTATTTATTTCACTTATTTATTCCTTTATTTTCAGTCTTTTGAAGCTCCTACTAAAAATAAGCCAACTGTTAGTAGCTCAGTTAAAGTAGATAGTGAAAAGACTAAAAATAAATATCATACACACGACCAGAAAGGTAAACATGTTTTCCTCACGTCATGCACCTATCTCAAGTAGTTGAGAAGAAAGTTATATCCACTTTCTTCCTTTGGTGATGTTGGCAGCCCCTACCTGCAGCATAACTGGTTTCTGGTAGGTCAGAGCAGGACGAGCTTCCTCAGGTTGGGCATTGCCTTTGTGGATTCTGGAAGTAGCCCCCTAACCCTACCCCTAACCCTGGGTCATTAATTTTCTTCCTAACCATCAGATTGCTCTTTGATAGCATCAAAGTGTTTTTGTTTTTTTTAAATATATTGATTTTTTTTACAAAGAGGAAGGGAGAGGGATAGAGAGTCAGAAACATTGATGAGAGAGAAACATCGATCAGCTGCCTCCTGCACACCCCTTACTGGGGATATGCCCACAACCAAGACACATGCCCTTGACCGGAATCAAACCTGGGACCCTTCAGTCTGCAGGCCGATGCTCTATCCACTGAGCCAAACCGGTTAGGGCAAATGTTTTTATTTGCTGTATGACTGCACTTACTCTGAATGTAGGTGAGAAGTTTGCCATAACGTCACCTGACTGGGAGGTGGGTAGACTCCTCATGTCTGATCCCAAGGCCGTATGGTCACCTTTCCTCGTCTGTCTGGGCAGGCTCGCTCACCTAGTCTTGGAGTTTAGGAACTCTGTGACCTGAGGGTGAGTAGGAGTTGGTTGATGAGATTGGGAAAGACTGGAGTGGGGGAGGGGATAACTTGTTCAAAGGCTGGAGATGAGAAAGGGAGATCGCTTTGTGTGCCCCGCGTAGAGCCTCACACTGACAGGTGCCTTGGAGGGGGGTTGGAGAGCTGGGCAGGGGCTGGTTGGCCATGGTGCCAATTTAGACTTCGTCTTGAGAGAAATGGGAGCCAAGGGAAACCTTTGACATATTTAAGCAGAATGGTAGGATCAGATTTGCATTCTAAGAAATCATTTTGGCTTCAGGCTGGAGACTCAATTGTAGGGCAAGAGTGGGAACAGGTTGCAGGAAAGAAGCTATTCTAATAGTTCTGGTGGCAGTGGAGGGTGGTGGGACGGAGTCCATCAAGGGAAATGCTCCTGAGAGGAACCTACTGTGACAGTTGCTTGAGGGGGAAGTTGAAAGTGACTCCGGGTTTTGTCCTGAACAGCTGGAGACAAAGGATGGTGATGGCTAGGAGGCGCAGGTCCTGTGTGCTGATTTTGAGTCAGGGACCAGTGATTGGGCCAGAGGTGAAGATCTGAGGCTGTTGGCAGGCATCACTACTGACCCTGGAGGAACGGAAGACAGGCCTGCCAGCTGAATGCTGTCAGCAGCCCTGGCCCAGTGCCTGCCATGGCCCCACATTCTGAGGGTGGGGCCTGTGTTCTTAAGTACACGGTCTCCTCTTGTTTCCGTAAAGTAACAAATGCCTGGCTCGTCTCTAGCCCCCAGTCGACAGAAGAATAAATCCTGGATCCTCGGGAATGGGCCGAGTCCACTCACAGTCCACATGTGGCGTTCCCTCGCGGCTGCTTACAGTCGATGCTTTATAGATGAAGGCTAAATGGCATGCGCCAGCATCTCCTAAGGGATGAGTCATTAGTTCATCATTTTGGAACAAACACACTTTAATTCTAGTGACATTTCCAAGGCTCTGGAGTGGATTCTGCGTTCATAAGAATACTTCCCAACTTTATTAAAGCCAGCAGCAGAAAGGACTCATTTGGCATTTGATGGCAGTAGAACTGTTTAGAAATGTCACATGGTCCTCACTGCCTCAGGGATGGGTTTTCATAGAGTGGGTGCTGGCCTCTGCAGGCACGCACAGTGCGAGCCTGGCAGTCATGATCATTGCCCTCCTAGTCACTGAAGGAAGGAGTCTGGGTGGAATGGAGGCTGATCCCTTGTTTGCAGGAGAGAGGGGCCTTTTCTGAACTTTAAATTATGACTCGTTGATGCATCTTTGGGCCCCTGCGTCCTGAATGCTTTTAACACCATCTGTCTCTAGGCCCCATAGAGAGAAGCTCTCTGGGATAATGGGTAAACCACCCACTCAGACAAATACAACCTCTAACCCCAGCCTACTCAGCTTGGAAAGTCACTTAATATTCAGAACCCCAGCTTCCTCCTTTGTAAGGTGAGGATGGAGGGATCCCTGACTCCCAGTGTGATTGGGGCCTCAGCCTCTTGTTCTGTAACACGGACACAGAGGAGTCTGTAACTCCCAGCGTGGGTGTGTCTTAGAGCATCAGGCCGCCCTCACTAAGTACCACCTCATAAACAACAGAAATGTATTTCTCCCAGTTCTGGAGGCTGGAAGTACAAGATCAAGGTGTGGACTGGTGTGGTGTCCGGTGAGGATCCACTTCCGGGTTCAGAAATGGCCGTCCTCTCTGAGACCTCACACGGCAGAGGGCACAGGGACTCTCTGGGGCCTCTTTTGTAAGGCACATGAGGGCTCTGTTCTGATGACCTGATCATCGTCCAAGGGTCCTGCTTCCTATGGTCAGACCCTGGAGATTAGATTTCAGCAGGAATTTGGAGGGAGACAAACATGCTGTAGCACTGAGCGTCAGTTTCCTCCTACAGAGCAGAAGTGGTTTCCCTGGCTGGGTGGCTAAAGAATTCAATGAGAGCATAAGTGTGTCACCTTTTGAGACCTCCTGTGTGCAAGGTATTGTGCTAAGCCCTTGACATGTGTCACCTTATTTAAAGAGGTATTTTGTATATGTTATACGGTAGGTTCTCTGATTATCCCCATGCTCCGGATGACAGGACAGTTGACTTGCCCAGGAAGAAGCCAGGAGCTGGGCCCAGGTTGATGGCCCTGGGATCTTAGGCTGCCCCTTGCAGCTCTGAGGAGCACCTGTAGGGCAGGGGCCTACCTGCAGGCCAGCCTTTCTCTCAGTTCACTCTTGGCCACTGCACAGGCAGGGGTGTCAGACCCCGGTATGGGTCTTGTGTCAGGCCCTGGATCTTGGGAGTGGGAGGACAGGGGCTGTGTAGCTAGCACCATGCCTCCTGCCACCAACATGCACCCCAGCTCCTGCTTAGCAACTGGGCTAGGCTTTGGGATTCTCCCCGGAGCCTGTCTGATGGGGAGGCAGCGGCAGCTTCTGCCCGTGCTCTCGAGCTTCCTCTCATTTTGTTTGGGTGCCATTCATTTCCTTTTGGTGACTGCTTTATTGTTTTCCATTCTCTCAAGCGGTGCCCTTTTGATTTCCTGTAAATCCCTCTATAATCATACTCTTTCCCCCAAACATGAGATCATAACTGATAATTTCTCTTCTTGTGCTGGGTATTGCAGTTTGAATGTGGAGGTCAAAAGTTGAAACTTAATAAGAGCAGGCATCTCACTTCCATAATTTAGGCTGTGTTTCTCTTTTCTTGTTCTGCAGATGATTAAATTGATCTGTAGGTAGGCAGGGAAATGAAAGGAGATGCTTTTGCGCTGTCTAATACAGCGTGCCCAGAATTTGAGTTCAGTTCCCCCAGAAGCTCCGCAGGAAGCTGGCATGTCAGCACATTCCGTGCGCCTTCCTGGGTTTGACGTGAGACTGTGACACTGAGTCATCGGTCGGTCTTAGAACCGGTAATCATACCAAGCGAAGGTGTCTTGCATGCATTAATCAGGCAGTGGGTAACATCTATTTCTACCCCATTGTTCCAGAGATGGTGAGGATCAGGGGCAGAGCACACCAGGATCTACATCCCAAATTAGAAAAGGCACATAGGGTGATGGCCTAGATTCTCGAGATGTATGTGAACACTATTTCAATAAGGATACTTTTTGCTGTTTTTGACTCCAAACACATAGGCATTCAACCCTAAGTTAATAAGAATCCCAAGTGAAAGTGGGGTTCTAAGTACAGTGAGAACTTGAGATATGGTGTGCAGAAGGCAGGAGCCGGCTGTGGGAGCCTCAGGGCCTGGTCTGGGCGGGCTCCCCTGCGTGTGGCCCTCGTCTGCCTGGTCCCAGTCTGGTCCTAGACCCCCTGGACTCACAGTGCACTAAGCTATCACTACTTCATGGCTCTGGTTTCTCTGAGACTTATTCATAGAGCCTCTTGAAGATATGTAATTCCAACCAGCTCTTTCTTTGCTGTCCCTGCTGCTGTTCTGGAATTTTACCTTTTGCATCCCTGGGGTGGAAGGAATGCTCTCGGGGGGCCCTGATAGAATTCCCACCCGCCTCTCCCACAGACCCATCCCCCATACACTCACCTGCAGGAGAGACAGAATTCCTGTCCTTCCAGGTGGGTTTTATTGAACACTGTGGCACTCTGATGCTTAGAGACTGATTTTGGAAATATTCCAGCCCGTCTTGCTACTGATTTCCTCAGTGGAGCATTCAGACCTGTTAATTGGTGTCTTCATCCTGGGTTTCATGCCCAGAGGCAGCTTTGTGACCTGTGAATATTTAAGCGGGAGGTGCGGGGGAGGGAGGGAATTCACAAATGAATCTCTGCATAGTCAGGTTTTTGTCATTTCAGGCCTGAGCCTTGGTCCTGCCTCTCCCCCGCCCAAGGTGCTGCCGTGTGCTTGAGTGGCCCTGGGAGGGGTGATTCTCACTGCATGGCCGGGAGCCAGGGACTCTGCCCGAGTGCCCGTGTCCCACCACGTCAGGCACCTCCTCTTGCTGTGGGGAGAGCCCCTGCCTGCTGTCTAGACCTCTTAGGTGGCATCTGTGAGGTCTTGTCCCAGGGCCTTGTCCTTGATGCTTCACGAGGGAGTGGCCTTCTCCTCTCTTAGGGATGGAAACCTTGCAGTTCGAATTTTTAACCACGACATGCACATCCTTTGGGGCTGAGTGTGACACTAGGCATCCCTCACCCGAGAGGCCACTGGGCCTGCAGGGCAGGACCTCGGCGCAGTCCCCCTGCCTTGCCTTTCGGAGCTCAGGAGCAATGGGAATTCCTCATCGGGTTCCGGGTGAATTTTCCTCAGGAAGGGAGGGACTGCAGAGTGCCGGGAAGCCCTATTCACTACAGTAATCTTCGAAGTTTCTGGCGCTTGCCCTAACCGGTTTGGCTCAGGGAATAGGGTGTCGGCCTGCGGACCCGAAAGGTCCCAGGTTGGATTCCGGTCAAGGGCATGTACATTGGTTGCGGGCACATCTCCAATAGGAGGTGTGCAGGAGGCAGCTGATCGGTGTTTCTCTCTCATGGATGTTTCTAACTCTCTATTCCTCTCCCTTCCTCTCTGTAAAAAATCAATGAAATATATATATTAATATACATATATATATTTCATTGATTACTTAAAAAGTTCCTGGTGCTTGTGTCATGGAGGTAACTGGGCCAGGCTGGTATGCTGGTACCAGGAGGACATCAGGCGCAGAGTGCCCCATGGGCAGTTGGGAGCCTGTGCAAGCAGACGGCTATTTTCAGGGCCTTTAACACCCGGATTAAATGGGCCAGGCCAGTGCTCGGCCAGCCAGTCTCTCCGGAGAACTGCTTTTGTGGGCTAATTTGCCCTGATTCAATTTGATTTTTTTTTTTTTTAATATGACTAAAAAAGTCAGTCCCCCAAAGAAAAAAAGAAAAAAGAAAACCAGCCCTGAGAAAATCAGCTGGAGCCTAGAGTGTCACCTTCCCTGAAGGGGAGTTGGAGAAGCGGCAGGACTGTGGTCCTCGGTGCTGGGAGTGCTGGTCTCTGCAGGGAAGAGAGCATGGTTGGGACTCTCCTTGCTCCTCGGGCAGATTGTGAGCTTTTCCTTCTCGTCTCCGGGATCAGGTGCTCAGGCTGCGGGGAGAGGCCAGTGGGGGGTCTGTGAGGTGGACTCCTGGGGGTCAAACTCTGTGACTGGGGATGAGGCAGTGGTGGGGGGAGTCTGGTCTGAGAGCCCTGTCCTGCTCAGGGCCTGCCAGGTGAGTGACTCCCACACTGACCTGGTGAACTCCCCCTGGGAGGCCTCCTTTCTTTTGAAATGAGGCCATTCCCTCTCTCTGCTGGAAGGAAGGTGTTTCCAGCATTGGTGCGCAGCCCGGATACTATTTCTAACGCAAGGACTGTGTCTGCTCTGGGCCAGGCACTGATGTGGCCCTGGGCTGCCCGCGGGGAGGAGACCCAGCTGAAGAAGAGATGACAATGTGACAGCTTATGGAGGATTCCTGTGGACAGGCCTGGGGACAGAGCGCCGCTTAGCCTGTGGGGGGATGGAGGAGCCCCCTGCACCTTGAGAAAAGTGCCTTTCTGTGGGAGCTGCGGGTGAAAGGTCACTGAAGGGGCACCCGCAGGTTCCTGGCAGAGGAGTCCGCTGTGGGGACAGGGTGGGGCCAGAGAGCTCAGGACTCACCTGTAGCTTTACCTGCACCCTGAGGGCGTCCAGAGGGCACTGAAGGTTTTGAGCAAGGAAAGCAAGGTTGGGTTTGCATTTTCTAAAGCTCTGCCTGTCCGGGAGCAGACAGCCTGGAGGCTTGGAGGCCAGCAGAGGCAGGCGAGGTTGTCCAGGCTGGAGAGAGTGGGGTCTGGATGGAGAGACACCGAGGGTCTGAGAGGTGGTGGGGGATTCATGGTCCGTGGTCATCACCTGGATGTGGGAGCAATGGACGGACAGAGGGCGGAGTCTGGGAGGATGCTGGTTAAGTTTCATGCAGCAGGCGATGGTAGAGCTGGGATTGAGATAGGACACATGGATGGGTGGGTGTTTCTGTCACCGTGAGCTGGAGGCACTGGGGACCTGTGCCAGAAGGACTGCGGAGTTGGGAGATGGGACAGAGCTACTGTGCCATCCACTCCCAGGCAGGTCTTCCCTGCAGCCCCTGTGTCCTGGAGCAGCACTCACAGACTCGGGCTCTGGTTTGACTCTCATGGAGGTTTGGCTAAGCCTGTGTGGATTGGTGGGCACAAGGGTGGGGGGAGAGGGGAAGGACTGTCAGGGACATGAGGAGGGGTGCCAGGGGCGGCACTTCCTCTGGAGCCACTGATGCCTCTGGGTTGGCAGCTGGGGTAAGAGGGCAGCTGACAGAGCGTGGGGCAGGGTGGGGTGAAGAGAGAAGAGGGGAGGGAAGAGGAGGGGAGGAGATGAGGAAGAGGTTCCAGGTCCCACTCCAAAAGCTGCTCCCACTCCTCTCCCAAGGCAAGCACTGTTTCTGTCCCCTTTCCAAAATGTGGCTGGGTAGTGGGGGGTAAAGCTTGGTGAGAGGAGGAGGAGGTAAATGGGGTCATGGAGCTTTAAGTCATAGGGACCATGGATGGAGGGCTTGAGGCTGGGATCTGAGCCCAGGTGTGTGTGGGAGGAGGGGCTGGGCTCGCCTGGAAGAGGTCACCCTTCCCTTATAGGGGTGGGAGGGAGGAGAGCATGAAGGGGCAGGGGAAGGTTTGGTTGTCTGAATAAGGCGAAAGTGTACCCAACTGCTGGCTTCTGTGTTCTCCAACTAGATGCGTTCGTTCGTTCATTCGTTCATTCCCTGGGAAGGGGAGGAAACACTGAGCTGGGGAGGGGAGAGATCTTGGCAAGATGGAGCAAGTTAGAGTAGGCCTCCCGCAGGCCCCCTTGCAACTCACGGCAGATTGGGGGCCAGGGGGAGGCTGTGGGCTGGAGACAGAGCTACTGTGCCATCCACTCCCAGGCAGGTCTTCCCTGCAGCCCCTGTGTCCTGGAGCAGCACTCACAGGCTCGGGCTCTGGTTTGACTCTCATGAAGGTTTGGCTAAACCTGTGTGGATAGGTGGGCACAAGGCCTACAGGTCTAAATTGTTGGTAAGAGTGGTGGCTGGAAGGATGGACCAGGGTCTAAGCTGAACAGAGAGGCGGAGAGCCAGAGGCAGCTGCAACTGGGGCTGTGCCCACCTGTGTTGTCATCACAAGTGAGGCCCACTCCACTCCCCAGTCCCTCAGGCTGGTGCGCAGGGCGCAGTGGGGAACAGTACACCAGGGCTGCACGGTCATCCTGTGAGCGGGTTCGGATCTCTGGAACTGAGCTGCTCGCCTGAGTCCTGTTCTTGCCTCTGGACCCTCACCCCGGAGCACAGGACATGCTTCCTGTTCCCCAGCAGCCCGGTTGCTCCCAGCTGCCCGGTGCAGGCACCTTTATGATGGCAAAGAGCAGACTTGCAGGGTCAGTGTCTGCCCTCCGGAAGAAAGCGGGTCCGTGTGGAAGGAGCCTCAGTGGGCTGGGGGTTTGCCTTTGCTACATTTCTCTCTGGCTTTGCTGCTCTTGAGGGCGCTGAGGGCGTTCCCTGTGAAAGAGGCAGAGGTGGCTTTGTTGCAGGTGCGTCACCCGGGGTCAGAGTGCAGCGCTGGCCGTGAGGGATGGCTGAGGACTCTGCTCCTGACGCCTGGCCCAGCTGCCACTCTGATGCCCGGACCTGCAGTTGCTTGTTTGACATGGTAGAGGTAGAAAGCAAGCATTTATTTAGCTTTTTGGTGTGAGTCTTACTCGGGATGAGATTGATTGCGAAGACCAGAAACCTAACCATATTGGGCAAATGGATAGGAGTTTATGGGAGGACTCCCGGGAGTCCGGTGCAGGAAGTACCTTGGGTCTCTGGTCTCTTGGCTGCACCTCCTGCTCCACATGCACCCTCTCCCCCTTGCTGTCTCTTGTCTGCTCCTCGTCCTGCTTCTCTCTGCAGAACACTCTTCCCACACTCACTCCTGCACCATGCCGCCCCTCCGTCCTGCCCCGTCTCAGGCAGCTCTGATTCATGGTGTGTCTGCGCTGCCCGGCAGGGGAGACCTCTTCAGCCAGCTGGGCAGAGCCCTGGGAGGCACACACTGAGGATTCGGGTCTAACAGCCTCGCCATGTAGATCTTTCCTCATTTTTATGGACGAGGAAACAGTCTCTGGGCTTCTTCTGCCACCCACAGCAGCCTCTGATCTGGGAACTAGAAACAGCCTGCACATCCGAGGCTGGCAATAGGTGAGGACGTGTAGCTTTCACTCCTGCAGATTGGGGACCCACCCAGCCGCCACCCCCTGCCCGGGCAGCCCATTTGCAGCCTAGCTGGGCACGGCCTGGCCCTGGGATCCTTCCCAGGCTGGGCAGGTGTGGCAGCCCAGGCTTTCCCTGGAGGTCCAGCCCGCTCCTGCTGAAAGTCCCTGACTCTCTGTTTTTCCCTCCCCGCAGCCGGGTCTTTAAGACGGACATGGAGCTGGAGGTTTTGCGCTACACCAATAGGATCTCCAGTGAGGCCCACCGGGAGGTAAGCGGGGCCCCACTTGTCGGAACGCTGCCATCTGGCCGTGTTGGGCGAGCTGCCTTGCTGTGTGTGGGGCCAGAGGGCAGCATCAAGATGGACGGTCTCAGGGCAGCTGCAGTCCCGAGTGCCAGTGGATCGGGCAGAAAAAAAACTCACTTCAGCCAGTCTCTCTTCTGTTCCCCAGTGGGGACAGGGCAGGGACAGCAGAGGTTAAGGCACCCACCCCCGAGAATTTCCCAGCAAGAAGTCCTCACTTCCAGGGGATGGGGCTTCCTTCCTGGTATTCCCAAAGGCCCAGGGTCCAAGCACACTTATTACTGTCCTCCGTTAACCATCCTCCCGGGTCCTTTCCCAAACCTTCCCACTTCGCTGAGGATCGAGAGCAAATAAGGAAGTGACGGTGGTCAGGGTGATGGGATAGCCTGGTGCCTGCTTTGTGTCAGGAGACAGACGAGGGTCATTTGTGGGCAACGGAATCTTTTGTCTGAAATCATTTTCTCTGTTTTTTAAAATTTCATTTTCCAATTATAGTTTTCACTCATTATTTTGTATTAGTTTCAGGCATATAGCATAGTGGTTAGGTAGTCCTATATTTTACAAAGTTACCCACTGGCACCGAGCAGAGTTACTGCCGTGTTACTGACTGAACTCCCTGTGCTGTACGTCACCATCCTGTGACTGCTTTGTAAATATCAGTCTGTTCTCTGTATCTATGAGTCTGTTCCAGTTTTGTTCGTTTCCTTGTTCATTAGATTCCATTTATAAATAAAATCAAAATGTATTTGTCTCTGACTGACTTCATTAACCCCCGGTGCCCTCTGGGTCCATCCATGCTGTTGCATATGGTAAACTTTCTCTCTTTTGGATGGCCAGGTTATATTCCCCGGTAAAAATGCACCACAACTTTTTTAGCCACTCATCTGCTGATGGGCACTTGGGTTGCTTCCATGTCTTGTAAAATAATGCTGCAATGAACATGGGGGCACATATATTCTTTGAATGGCAGTTAAACAAAGGAAACCTTTCAGGTCAGTCATCGTAGCTCTGAGCGTTACGTGTTCACAGATGTCTTGGTCAAGTTTTACCTGCCATCAGCCGCCGCAGATGTGTGCTGGGTGTTTATCGGCTTCTGAGTGGAAGTGCTTGAGTGGTTAAATGAAAGAAGCTTTTTCTCCCTAATTTGTCACATTTTTGTACCATTGTGTGCACATAACATTCTTTTCTTTTTTTAAAGAAGAGATTCTTTTGAAAAAGTGCTGTCCCTTATTTATCAGGCAGCTCCACTTCTTAATAAATATGTCTTTGCTTAATGTCCGCCCTGCAGGTGATGAAGGCCGTAAAAGTGGGAATGAAAGAATATGAGCTGGAAAGGTAAGCTGCGGTGTCTCTCTGGGTGAAGATTAAGATGTAGAAACAGTAATTGATGTTCCCTGAGCACGTCGCAGAGGAGGTCCGCAGTGGCGGCTCACTGAAGGGGCTGCGAGCTGGGCTCGGGCACCGTGGCAGAGTCTCCTCCTCCGACTGAGGCCGCTTTGCTGGTGCTTGGCAGAGTGTTCGATGGTAATGGTCTGTGATTACTTCTGAGGCTGCTTTAGTGCCTCATCATTTCACTCCCGGACTTTGTTTGTGCAATTTGCAGGAAACTTTACCAAAGAGCTGCTATTGTGACTCTGAAGGGCGCTAGTGAAACAGCCTGTCATTTATGTGTAAACACGGTCATTATGTCTGCTGCTAGGACAGTGCCGTCTCAGGATGGCTAAGTGGCTCATAAAGTGTTCTGGAGAGCTCCGCTGGCCTGGCCTGCCGCGCCGTGCAGGCTTCCTGGGGCTGCCCAGTCCTCACCTGCCCCAGGCCTGGGCTTCTGCTATGGCAGTGGCATGAAGAATCCCTTGGTCAGACCCAGACTGCTCCAAGGGCTCCTTCCACCCTGTCCTGGGCCACCCCCAGTGACTGTACCATCTGGAAGCTCCCCTGGGGGGAGGGCAGGGAGAGGCTGCCATTTCTGCCCCGTCACACAGTAGGAAGTCCGTATTTCCCTCTCTGTGATATGGTAGGAAATCCACGTTTCGTCTCCGCCCCAGTTCCTGGCACAGCACTTCTAAAACCCTCAGAATTCCCCCAGTGACAGGGTCTGTTGTTGTCCATAACTGGAGGCCCAGTGCGCGGATTCATGCCCAGGTGGGGTCCTAATGGGGGCTGATCGGGGCTGGGCCGGCTGGGGGAGGGGCCGCAGCGGTTGAGGGGGACTGATCAGGCCGGTTGGCCACTGCAGTGCACACCATAGTGACCGGTTGTTTGGGTTGTTCTGGTTGTTCCTTCATTCCGGTTGCTTGGCTTTTATAAAGATAAGCCCCTTTCAGCCACACCTGCGTTTATTCTAATGACGTGCTAGTGACTGGGAGAGAGGCTGGAGATTGAGTCTGACCAGTGATTTTTTTCATTTGTGCCTCCGTATGGACCCTCTATAAAAACTGCTCCACAGGGTGGTGAAGGCAGGGGGCTCCCAGAGGGCGTCCAAGCACCACACGCCTTGCCCGACCTTGGCCTGTGCATCAACCCCTCTGGCTCATCCCGAGTTGTAATCTTTATGAGAAAGTGGTAATAGTACAGGAAGTGCTTCCCTGAGTTCTGTGAGCCATTCTGGCGAATTTCATTGGGACCCCAGATTTATAGCCAGTCAGTCAGAGGTACGAGAGGCCTGGGCTTGTTATGTCTGAAGCGGGGATTATTCTTGCTGGATGGAGACCTTCACTCTGGCAATTAATGTCAGAAGTAAGAGATAGGACCCCAGTTGGTGCCCACAGAGAATGAGAGCTGCTGGTTGGGAAACCCACGCATTGGTGTCAGAAGTGTTGTGAGTACAGAAAAAAGTGTTACCTTTCACCCTCGGCCCCGTCCCGATCCTGGCTGCCCTCTCCCGCCTGGCCTTAGAGCTTGGCGCTGCCTCCCTCGCTCACCTCGCAGGCCGAACTCCGCCTGGGGCGCCCTCAGGCTGCTCTGCTTCCATGTCGGCCCCCCCTCCCCCCAGCCTTTCTGGCCGGCCCACTTCGTGAGGGCGGGTGAGGGCGGGTGCAGACGGAGCCAGCAGTGGGAAGCAAGGGCGTTAATGGTCACCATCACATGGCTTGGGAGTAGGTGTCTTTTTCAACATCTAACCCTGAAAGGAGTGCTGAGCAGGGAACCCCAGGTTTCTCTCCTCTTCCCCTGGGGGGTGGAGTAATGCTTCAGCGGGGACCCAGGAGAATGGGGAAGGGCAGGCAGAGCGCCAGCCTTGGCCTCCCGTGGCCTGCTCAGTGCAGTATCTGCTCGGGATTCCCAGTCCAGGGACGTGGGGGGGGGGGGGGGAGGCTGAGATTGGCATTGTCCCAGGAATCTGATCTCATCTTAATTGGCCCATAGTGACCCACAGCTGATGCCCAGTGTGGACCCTGCCATCCGCGCAGCTGGCCACCGTGTGCCCGGTGCTGCAGGGAGCTGAGCTCCGGAGGTGACTCCTAGGAGGGGCCTGAGCTTTCTCCCGCACCGGGTCCCTGAGCCCAACCCGCTGCAGCCAGACAGGCCTGCCTGTGGGCTCTGGATCAGGGGCCTGTGGGAGTACTTCTTCCACCTCCTTACCTGCCACCCCCTCCCGGTAATGCCAGTCTTTTTCTTACCTTTAGTAGGAAATTGCAAATACTGCTGCCATCCCCAGAATAGTGGAGTGAACCTTGAAGTTCCCACCAGGATTTTTATTTAGTTTTGTTTGGTTGCAGTATCTGAGACCAAGTCCCAGGTCTGACATTTCTCCTGTAAATGCATCCCGGGCGGCTCGGTTGATGAAGATACGTTTTTCCTTTCCATAGCCACCACGTCGTTATCACATCAAACTAAGTGAGCAGTAGATCCTCCATATCACCAATAGCTAGTCCACATTGGTCTAAACTGTCTTTCTCTGAGTTGGTTTGTTCGAGTCAGGAGTTGCATTTGGCTGTTATTTGAAGGAGGGTCTCTTGAGGCCAAGCCCTGGGAGAATTACCTTTGTCTTCAAACCGCTCAGCCTCTACCCCCACCCCACTCCTGGGCTAACTACTGCTGCTGCCTCTGGGTCCTCGGCAGCTTTCAGAGGAATGAGATCATGGCCAGAGCTGCCCTGAGGTGCTGTGCTTCGTTCACTCAGCCCATGTGCCAGGTGTGTGCACCAAGCACGCCTGCTGTGCCTGTGCCCGGCTGTGGCCATCACGGGAGACAGAGGGGAAGCGGTGCCTGCCCCCAAGCCCAACCTGAGGGCCCCTGCACGCTGAGAGCAGGGGCTCCTGGGTAGAGGGTGGATGGAGTTGGGGACTGCTCCGGGGAAAAGCTGAAGCAGAGATGGTAAGTGCAAGAGACAGACTGTCCCTGAAGGACAGGTGGGTGGGTGGCCTTTCCAGACAGAGGGTGTCACCCCTGAAGACGGTGGGCTGTGCGAGGACATTGTCACACCCTGGGGTGTCCCTGGCCAGAGGGCACATTGCGCTGTCGCTGCGGAGTGCTGGGGTCCGTGTCGCGGTCTCTGTCCTTGGAGCCTGGAGGCTGCTGCTTGGAGGCTCCCACCGCGTTTACCGCAGTGTCTGCCCACGGTGGGCGTCAGGACACACATGGGGGTGAGTTCAATGGACAAGAGAAAGAATAAAATGTCCTGAGCTATTTTTTTTTTTTTTGCTGTCGTCGGTGCCACTGTGAATGTTGGCCTTTTCCTGACCAGGTGAGGAATGTAAAACCTCATCTGAAGTGTTATCTCCCCCATCCTCCCTCACCTCCCCCCCGGGGTGCGGCCCTTTAAGCACAGGCTGCACGGATCCCTGGGAAGCCGCCGGCTCCGGGGCTAGAAATGTGCGAACCAGCTGGACATCCCCCGGGGCATGGCCACCGCAGCCCAGAACGGGGCACGGGGCAAGGAGGCAGGGATCCTGCGGGTCGGGCGTGGAGCGAGGGTGGGGCAGAGGGAGGCTGTGTTCTCCACGGCAGGCACGCCACCGCCGGCACAGGGTGCTCAGACTCACTCTGGCTACCGGGAGGCCACTTCTAAGATTTATGCTTCCAAAAATGTTATCATCAAAAGTTTGTTATAAAATCTTGAGGGCATGTTAAAAATAAAAGAGCGAGCTGATGGCATTTATTAAGACACCTCCTCCGTGCTGAGCCTGTGAGTGGGGTTTCAGAGGGAATGGAAGTCATTTTCCTCAGTTGAGGTGCAGTAAATTGTGTTAAACCAATAAGACATTAATGTTTGGGTAAATCGGGCGCTAACAGCATCTGACTGCAGGCCCAATCAGGCAGGCCATTTTGCCGCTCATATTATTTAATGTTAGTGGCGTAACCAGCTTGTCGCCGGCTGGCATGGGGTTGGCAGCTGAATCAATTACCTGCAAACACTAATTTAGAGCATGCTCAATTGGCTGTGTAAGCAGGTCCCGGTTCACATTTGCCACAAGGAGATTAATAACTTGATGTTTTTGACAGCCTGGGACCTTAATTGAAATTACGCTCCTTCTCTCCAAGCTGTGAATGGGGCATTTTGGCCCTTCCCTGACAGCTCCGCTGGGATTGTGCGAGGCGTTTGAAAGGCACACGGACTGTGAGGTGTGCGGGGACGGCATGGCGGTGCCCTCCCGGGCAGGATCCTTCCTGGCAAACACCCAGGCCCATCTGGAGACCCTGCACGGCCTGGGCTTGGCTCTGCTTGGCCGAGGCAGCAGCCGCCGGACCAGCCTCCCGCTGCCTTCCGGTCGTTAGTGAAGAACTTGCCCAGCTGTGCTCCTGGGATCAGTCTCCTTGCCTTTCCCTGCCCTTTGGGCCGATGGAGACAGTCAATTCTGTGTGTTCTTGTGCCCGCTGGGCCCCGATTGGGGTTGGGGGACAGAGACCCAGCCTGGGGGTTTCTTCCAACAAATACCACTGAGACACACATACAGACACACATGCACACTCCTCTCACCCATACCACGTTACAGACATTACCCACACAGACACATGCACACCCCACACATACCACACACACTCATTCCCCATACATATTCACACACCACTTACATACTCCTCACACACTACATGCATGTTCACACCTGCCACACAACACCTACCACATGCATCACACCACACACATATGTACACTGCACATATCACACCACTCACATACCTCTTGTACACACATTCACACACGCAATACACAACACTTACTATCTGCACCACATTTACACATACTATACATACATATATTCCTACACACACACATACCCACCATACACACACCACTTACCCCATTTACACCCTCACACATCACTCACACACTCCACACACACACCATACACACACAGCATGCACACACTCCACACACACATCATACACACAGAGCA